ATTATCTCCTAATTATATATTCCTTGTCACAATCCATATCTAAAAATTGGTTGTTATTTTTATTTTGTTATTTATAGATCTTATTTAGATTTGTATTAAAAGTAAGCAAAGCCAAAATTAGGGGACAAATCATTTTATAGTTTCCTTTATAAAAGGAGGGGAAGTTAGGCATGTGTGTTTCTCTATGGTTTTTATTTTGTGAAGACTTTGAAGAACAAATGCTTCATAAAGTTGAGTGCTAAAATAATTATGTTGTAGAAAAGGGTATTTACATTGATACATAAAATGTGACTATTCAATAAAGCTTGATGATAAGCCATTTTCCAAAGACCCTTTGTGTTAGAGTAATGGTCACTGTTTCAACACATTAACAACTTTGTTAAATCAACATGTTTCTAATGTTAAATATATATAAAAGTCAAAATTGGAGGCTTACAAATTGGACAATTTTGAAGGTCTAAACATTATTCTTATAATGCGAGTAAATCAAGAGTGTTAAATGGATGTATTAAATTAAATTGAGCATAAATAGTAATAATCCGTTAAAAAATGAATGATAAGATAAATTAATTTATATGGTACGCCATAAATGCTAGTTTGGTTGTGATTTTAAGTCATGTTTTGATATTGATTTTTTTTTTTACATATATAAAACTTTTATCATAAACATTAGAATTTCATAATTTATGAGAATTATTAAAACTTTTCTAATTTCCACATTTTTACAATCTGAACATATCATGGTTCATAAACAAGATAATGTCTCAAGGAATCGTATTAATAAATCACACATCTCCGCATTTTTATTTATAAATAAACTTTTATAGTTATATGTTATAATAAATTAACAATAGTAGTAAATAGTTATTTTGTAATAAGCCTCTCATGTGGTTACATATAATTCCTTCACATTGAGCATAAGTCTTCTTTTTTTCGTAAAATTTAGAATTATTAGTTTTAAAATATAAACATATGCGTCAACTTTAAATTTACTGTTAAAAAAAAAGAAACAGAAAAAACTGAAATTTAAATTTAAAACTGAAGTTTTTGTTCAAATTTCATAAATAAACACTAATTTCAAGGATCATACCTTATTTTTGTATATCATTCTATTTTTATCAAATGTCTCCAAAGAGACAAATTAAAACTTCAAATTCTAGCTTTAGGTCAAATGTGACATGACCAATCACCTACTTAATTTAACTCTAACATGTGATGTGAAAATTCAAATTTGAATAACAACCGCAATTATATTCGGTCCATATCAATTAGTTATATTTATTTTGGTAGGACAAAATTCATATTAATTAATTATTACTCCAACTTAATTAGCATATTTTATAATTCTTTTTGTAGGACAAGTTCCAATTTTAGGTGTCTCATATGGTTTGAACTAAAAGAAAGTTGAGTTTAACAAAAAAGAACGATATTAAAAAAAGGTAAAGTGAACACAAAGTTACTTATTCTCCTTAGACATTAATTAGATAATTTAAAGTATTAACAAGGGAATTAAGAAAAATAGTTATACTAATTAGAACAGATTAAATAAAAAGATTAATCAGGGAAAGGAGTAGTTAAAGTAACGGTGAATTCCACCATTTATTATTTGTCCATACGAATAAAGTTAATTATTATTTGTTTGATCATCTACACAGAAATCTAACTAATTCAAATTTGTATCATATAAAACCTCACTCGGATGGAAGCACTTCATATTAAAAAAAAATTCATACACAAACTTTCAACCCGAAATATCTAATTAATAAAAAATCAGCTTCATCCGCTACATTATATTCATAATGCATAAAGTTAATTTGATGATTAGGTCCTAAAACATTATTGTTTTTTCTTTTATCTCTGGCGTTTCACTTTAAGCAAGTAGTGCACGTGCATGATGATGTTCGTCTGGCTATTAGGTATACAAATTAAACATATTCAAAGAATCGTAATTATTTTGAATGTTCATATATTATACAACCACTCAATAAACGTGTAATTATATATGTCTCCCCCAACGATATTATTAGCATTTACTAAAGTTTAATTAATCATTAACTATGATGGGGAAAATGTTAATTTACATGTGCTACGTAAATATCTATGGGCAACTTTCACATATAGAAAACAAAATATTCATATTTGTATGCTATGGCAAAGTTTGTATAATTGCGCTCTATAGCAAACATAAAACTGTATAATTCGCTATACATATACAATTATATAATTCGCTGGCCTAAATTGTATAATTCGCTGGCCTATTTTGCTGCAATTGTATAATGCACGATGGTATATTTCGCTGCCTATTTCGCTGCAATATTTTTATAAAATTTGCTTTGCATACAATTGAATCGAATTGAATTAAAATATATGTATATTGCATAATTATAAGTGTATAGCGCGAAGATATATGTTTTTCTCTCGCTTTATACAAAACAGAAACACAATATATACACTTATGTTGTATAAAGTTAGAGAAAATTATATTTCACTGCAATTGTATAATTAGCAATTGTTTAATTCGTTGGCCTTTTTCTCTGCTATATTTGTATAAAATTTTCATTTGTCTACAATTGAATTGAAGTAAAATGTTTGTAAATTGTATAATTAAGTGTATAACACGAAGATATATGTTTTTACATGTGTATATACAATTTTCTCTCGCTTTATGCAAAATAGAAATAGAATTTATACACTTCTGTGTATAAAGCGAGAGAGGCGAGGAGGGAGAGCGGCGAGCGAGATTTTTGGGAGAGAGACGTCTGACAAATTTTGGCTAACGTTTGCTATGGAGCACAATTAAATCAAATCCTAGCTACTCTATTTATTTTAGGTTATTGATTTGCTATTATATACAATTTTCTCAATATCTATTGTAATTAATGATGGTTAATTTATACTGTATGTATATTAGGTATAATAATTAAAAATAAAGTAAAAACCATTATAGTGTTTATTGAGACTAAATTCAACTGCACCTTCTCCATTATAGGGTCTACGCAGTTGATTTATGACTTTGTGAGTTGCGTCTGTTTGGCAGTGTTGGAAAAGACAAGTATGATGTGACCTGCATATCTAAGCCCATTAAATTTTTAGAAGTAGCCCACATCCTTACCAGCCCAACAATCAGCAAATATAGGCCCAATTTATAACTATCTAAACTTTTTACACAGACCCACCTACCTTTTCTTTTTCCGGCCCAATAAAAGACCCCTTTTATTTGGGAAAGGGAAAATACCGTCCAATCGATCAAAATAATTATATTTGTTGATAAAAAATTACTGATATTTTTAAAAACCTTTAAAATATATTATTTTTGTCTAATGTATTTAATGTATCCGAGCCAGTATTTAATATATCCGAGCTACATATTATGTATTCGATTTGTTTTATAAATATATACGAGTTATATATTCTGTATTTGATTTATGTTATAATGTGTCCGAGATACTCTTTAGTTATATCTGGAAGGTAAAAACTTTAAGAGATTACTGTAATTAAAGAAAAAAGAGATAAATGTAATTTACTCTTTATATTAAGATGATTATATAAATTTTATCAAAAATTAAATATGTATATTTTATGTATATATACAATAACATACATTTGTTGGGTCTTATTTTGGTGGAAGACTATGCAATGTAGTTTTTCCTTTTACTTCCCCCATTTGTTTGTCATATTTAAGCGAAAGAAATATATTATTTTGATGGGTGATTAAAAGGTGAAATATATTTTTTTATTTCTTCATTATTTTTTTTCCAGCTATTATTTTGATGGGCGAATACGCAGTGTAGTGTATTTTTCCCCTTTTGTTTCCTAATGCTCTTTTTTTTTCTTTTTACTATTATCTTGATGGACGACTATTTCGATTAAATTCATTAGATAAAGTCTGATGTTTTAGAAACTTGCAGTACAAAAGTTTGCTCTCATCCCAAGTTAAAATCATTGCAAATGGAGGACCCTCTTTGGATAAGATTGAAGCAATAATAAACTTAAAATATCACTGTCACTCTCTCACAAATAATTGTTTCTCTAGACATAACCACTATACTTGCTTTTCCATATTATCCACTTGATGAAATTTTTTAATGATCACTGATGGGTCCCTGCATGAAATTTTGGGCCTTAATTATGGGCCATATAAGCTTTTCTCAAGTCTACTTTTCTTGTCCCCAAAGTGGTCCATTTCTTTATATTTAGTTTTATGAGAACATACATTGAACACGGAGTTAGGGTACGTTTGGATTGATTTTAAAAAAAAAATTAAATTTAAAATTATTCTGAAATTTATTTTAAAAATAAGTAGTTGTGCAATTGGATAAAAGTGCAGCAGTTGAAAAAAAATTGTTGATGTGTTTGACATGTAAGTGCTGATAAACACTTTTTTTAGTCAAAATATCTGAAATACCCTTAAAGTTGTTAACATGATAAAAAGTTGATTGACTTAAAGTTTCTATGCTTTAAAATTAAAACAGAATTCATTTATATTTTACATTCATAAGTAATAACATTTCCTATCATTCACATATTTCTTTATCATCATATATTATTTATAAGAAAAATATAAATTTATTATTTAAGTTAATTTTGTATGTGCAACTTATTGTAGATAATAATAACAATAATAATAACAACAACAACAACAATAATAATAATAATAATAATAATTAAGGGCAAACAAGTAATATACTTAGTCAACATAAAAAGGCTTTTAAGTTTAAAAAACACTCCACACCTAGTTTTTAACTTTTGGCTTAAAATAAGTTGTTTTGAACATAAAATAAGTAACTTTGATGATTGTCAAACAATTTAATAAAACAAAAAATTAATTTTTAAGTCGGTTTGATCAGTTTAAAAGCCCATTCAACAGGCTCTTAGACTAAGATCAGACGCAGATTCACAATTAAAAATTTTATGTGCTATACAGTATTCTCAAATAGCTTTATAACGTTAGCTGCATTTTTACAAAAAAAAATTAATATATATATATACGAAATTTGAGCAAAAGTAATTGAGCTGGAGAAATCATATGTAAAATAGACTCTTGTCCATAAAGGCTCCATAATTATTTGGTAAAATCATCCATTTGAAGCAAGTGATCATAGAGCAAAAAATATATAATGATGAAATTGATTGGCTAACCACCCATCCAACCAACTCCTACCCCCTTTCACCCTAAGATAAAATGGGGAGAAAGAATGTATTTATACTTCACAATTTCTTATATATAGGTAATTAATTAGTTGGAGGAAAAAAAAAAAGAAGAAATTTTGGTCAAAAGGTATGAAAATCTTCATGTTTTATTCAACTGCTCTAATTACCTAGTCAATTATTTTCACTCTTTGTATGAGCTAATATGTTTTAGACTTTAAAAGCTTTAAATAATAGTATTAAATATCTAACTGTTTAATATGGCCTTCTCCTAATTATATATTGTTTTTAATGAAACTGTCATCAATTTATCCGATTCTAGAGTTTCCTTTTGCAATTTATTTCTTTTAAAATCTCTAATTATGAGTTAGATTAGAATCAAGCCAGGTTATTACAGTTTTTTTTGGAATGAATTGATGTGAACCACACTTTATTTTTACTTTTGAATAAATAAATATCACTCACAAATTAGAACAGTCATTCATCATTAATAATCATTTCATCTAAAAATAATTAAGGTTAATTTGAGCTAAAAATGTACTATTCCAAAAGAAAAAGGAAATAGAAAAGCATGGTGTGTGGGGTCAATTTGGTCAGAAATTTCAGTGAAGAAGCCATTTGAGGATTTATGATTGGTTCTTCTGAATAGGCCATTGAGTTTGAGAATATACACTGCCCATCAAGTTACTTTAAATATATTGGGCCTACCTAAGTTTGGTATCGAAAATTTTGAGATAAATATATAAATAAAAACATTTTTAAAAATATTACCTTATAATATATAAATTTAAATTCAATCGAACTTTAATAAGCCAATCAAGTTCACGTGATCCAAACCATGCATTGAAAACTCTATGAAGATTAAAGTAATGTAGTAGTTTTTTTTCTTCTAATATTATGGTCTGCAATATTATTCAAAAGAAAAGGTTAGTGGATAAACTTGCAACTTTTTTCTTTTAACATAAGATTTTTCTCTATTAGCTTTTTTATTGGGACTACCTCCCATGTGACAAAATCATCAGATGTTTATTCTTGCACTAATTTTTTCACTTAAAGATCTTTATATTATTTTTTTATTTCAATTTGGAATATAATTAAGTTTGAAAGAATAAATCATATATAAATTCTTCCCAAAAGTTGATTGTTCACCAGGTTCATAATTCTCCACTGAAAACTACTCAATAGTGTTTGTTCCATAACATTAGAGGTATATCTGTGACTATTTGTTATTTGTTCTATAGTTAGACATCTCACTTTGTCAATTTAATCAATATATATTATTCATAAACATGTCTAAGTTGTATCAAGAGATAAAATATATTTCCTTCAAAAGTTAACATTTACATGTTTTTCTAACACGATATAAATCTAAATTTAATCAGATTTTAATAAAGATATCTCTTTGTTACTATCGTATATACAGTGTATTTCACTTTTTTCGAAGTGAAATATATGTGTTATTTTCTATTATCTATTTAAAGTCTATAAATGTCATGCTATAGTTTCTCATATGCACTGACAAAATTTGTCTCTAGGTAACCAACCAATGTGACATTTTACTCGAGGACCATACGATATGTTCCTTATCCTTTTATTAATTCTTCAATTTATCTAAAGAATAAAAGTATTCATTATATAATTCTCATCGATCGAATGTATAATTTTTTTTCCTACAAAATATTAAAATTTTCTCTCTTTTGAGGTAAACATATAGTCTTAATATTTATTTGATATTATTTCAGATAATATTATTTTATTATATATATTATAATAAAATTATGTCTTCGTCACTGAATCCCGCTAAGGCCAGGCAACAGAATGGGATGTATCGATATCGATTTTGCTATTGTCGTGGTTCGTTTCAGTTCGATTGTCTACGGGATGAAAAGGAATATTCTAAATCGGGACATAGAACGGCACATTATCGAGGTTTGATACCGGTGTACCGTACTGATTTATTTCAATTTCGATCAAGTTCTAATTAACTAATATTTTATCTTAAATAATAAATACTATCCAAATAACTCAACTGCTCCTTATAAGTATTACATTCGATACTTGGTTGAAACATAACCCTTCCTAAAAGGTGGTTGTGTAAACTATGCACTCTACTGATAGTTGTAAATTGAGTTTGTAATTTGTAATCCAAAGTTAATTAAATCAAATTAATATTTTTTAATTTTTTGTAATTATTTTATCCGTATTTTTAAGATACCGCGCGTCACCATAAAAATGATTATTTTTGTTATCCATTTGGTCCGTGATGCTATTGAACTATTCTCCGAATCTGGTCTTCTTTCAAAAAATTTAATTAAAATTCAATAGACAAAAACCATCTGCCAGATTTGTTTTTATATTTATTTTACACTTCATAGAAAACTTCCAATAACATTTTTGAACGTTGTCGGTGAGGTGATTAGTTAAGGATTTAAAGGGTCACTTTATAAATGACTAATTGATTAAGCAAATTCTCATTGTCATTAATCTGATAATGACTTTACGCAATTTTTAAAGTACATATAGAACAAACTAATCACTTTCAGCAATATAATTAAGAACCTGATTAATTTCCGCCAAAAGAATGTGACACGAGTATATGCATAACGCCAGATGCCAATGATGTATTAGTATTTGCCTACCTTGATTAAATAATATTTTAATCATATAATTAAGAAACTAAATGAATAATGTTGAGTGTAATATTTTGGTTATCCTTATCACAAATGCATTTTTAAGTAACAATTGTTGTACCTTTTTGCTTGTACGTATTTAACGTTTCTTGTATTAATTCATTATCAGTTCATAGTGATTTAAAATAAAAGGTTGAATTTTCGATGGACATTGTATAGGTATAAATTCATGTGTAATTAAGTATTAGTTGAACAATTTTGTTATTATAAAATAAAAAAATAACTTCACTAGATAAATTCATTGAATTGAAGAATAGATTAACTCGATATTATTGTATCATCGTAATCATAATGTATTAACAATTATATGTTGCACTTGCCCCTCTTACTTGTATTTACTAATATTTTATATTTTTAAATATTGATTAATAACAATTTAAAAACGTACGTATAATAATTAATAACAAAGACAATATCACATGATCATGCTAATAAATTAATTAGTTAAGAGTATAAATTAAATATTAGTAACAAAAGTTAGTTGATATGTTGTGTGTGTATTGCTTTTAATTCGTGTGTTATTCCAACTCATAAGGGCAATCAAAAAAGATATTTATTCATATCTTAATGTTCAAAATAATTTCATTAATCATTTCATATATTGTACAATATGATCAAATAAAGCAAAGATATTCCGGTATATATTCTAGAGCGTATATATTTTTATTTTTTAAAATATTAATATGACTAGGCAAATAAGTTTAATTTAAATGAATCAATGTATGAGAGATATTTTGAATGCTAATACAAAGTGAAAAAATAAACTATATATGTTGGATCCCACTTTTTGTGTGGTGCTATATACTGCAATCAATATGCACTTAGAAAAATGGACGTAATTGATAAGAGAATCATATCGTGAGCAATAATTTTTAATACAATACTCCTGCAAGATTTGATTTAGACAAAAGTAAAAATTGAGTTGCAATGAATAATTTTAGAATTTGATTATTCTTAATTAAAGATATCGAGTATGCTTGAACCTAGGAATGATTTCTATAATTAATATTTTTTAAAAAATAAAATAAAATGAGAGACTTCAATGAGTATGAGAAAGTCAGGTAAGACAGCTTTCATATAATGACGTTTTGTTTCTCAATGTTAAAAATAGCCCTTTACTTTTCCTTTTTTCCTCAAAAGATTTTTTTTTTTTTTTAGATAAAAATATTTTCTGTTTGAGAAGTAAATGTTGGAATTAGTTTAGAATTTTGTATATTTAAATTCGAGATTTTTTTTTAATATAAAATTATATTTTTTAGAGGGGGCCTAAATTATGAAAAATTGCATCATTGAATTGAATAAGATCTTATTAGATAAAAACTTGATTTATCGTATAAATCAAATTTTGATATCTAATATTTATTTTTAATTACAGAATTTTAAAAATACCAAATAAAATACCAGAAGGTCATATTTAGAAATCTTGTGTCAGGCTTTTTATTTGTGGTAGCCATGGTCATTTCAGATGTCTTCTTACCATGTTGGATAATAATAATATTATATAAGTTGTATTACATCATAATTCGTTAGTTTAATATTTATTTTTAATTTTTAATTATTAAAATTAAGCTTTAAAAATATCGAAATCAAATATTTAAACACCTGCCCGTAATCTTGCCAAGAAAAAAAAATTGATAAACAAGAAGTGTGAAGGAAGCCAATTTATATTTCCTCTATCTAATAATATCTATTGTCCATTATTGACTAGTATACATAGGAGGATAATTCGATTTTATCTAAGTAATGAATATATTTTTTTCATCTAATAATAGTTATCGATTATACTATTTTATTTCATTCAATAATATTTTTTCACTTTATGAAATAAATGAATAAATTTATATTTAGTTCAAATTTATCCTTATCATTAATTGTAATTATTTCTCCATTATATTTTTCAAGTCATTGAATTTAATATTTATTACTCCGGCTGTCTAATCCTAATTAATTGTCTATTTTTAAATTGACACACATCTTAAGAAAATAATTATTAACATAGTGAGTTACTATTTCACCTTTATTAATTATGAAGTGGATTAATTAAACATTTAAATTTTTCAAGTTTCTTTTTCTTTTCAAAATAATTAATCTAGATTATAATAAGTAAAAAAATGCCTTTCATTATTTATCGAAATGAACAAGTAATTAGGGACATTAAAAAAATAGACACGTAATTAGGAACCGAGAGAGTATATTCAAAAAGTAAAATAGTAAAATTACTCTTCTATTTTAATTTTTTAAAATGTATGCAGAGTCAATAATAAATAAATATTATTAGACTGATGAATAACAAATACTATGAATCTTAAAAGATGTACAAACAACTATAATTAATTATAATACTAAATTAAAATTAAGTAAAAAATTATCTATTAATTTTATGAAATAAAATAAATATTATTAAATATCTAAAATATTATGATAGACAATTATTATTAAACGGAGAACAGAATAGCAAGTGTTATCCATTTCTAGCTCACGTGTTTCGATTAATATATACGGTTGGCATCCTTTTCGCGCGCATTCGCCGAAATAAAAAAAGAAGGGACCCTATTCTAAATTTAGTAGAATGGGGTTTTTGAACTTTTGATTGAAGTTTCTATTTTTTCGTTAATTTAATATGACACATTTCTTAATTATAAAAATTACGTAATAATCAAACTGAAAAGTATTTATTTATTTACATATCTAATCGTTTTCAACAATTTCAAAACAATCAAAATATGGTGATTACTCATTGAAAATTTTAAATTCAAATATTGAGAATTGAATTTGATGAAAAACATTTGCTTCAAATGAATTATATATAGTAAAAAACATATATTTGTAACTTCATTCAATCAACTTAATTTGTGCTAATCTATTTAATCGCGTTTTTCAGCATAATTGTAAATTTACAAGATTTTAATTTATGACTAACATTTACTCCTTGTAATATAAAAAAATATTTTGAAAATAATGAAAAAGAATGGGGCCAAATGTGAGCCAACTACCGAGAAGAATCACGGGGCTGTTTTCCTAATACTACCACTCGAACCGCCTACGTGGATGTCCCACTTGACTACTTTGGTCTATCCGTTTAAAAAATAATAATCTAGTTTGATTTAAAATAAATTAAATAAATTATTTTTTTAATGTTTTAATTATAAATTAAAGTTATATCAAATATATTAAAATATTTTTTAACTTTATGATCTTAAACATATCACGTGAAAAAGTTAAAATTAAAATATTATAAAATAAAATTATTATTTTTAATACAGATTAAAAATGATTAAAAATGAAATAAGGTCAAAAGTAATTTTTGTCTCCACCACTCTTTTAATAAATTTCAAATACACCTAAAATATCATAGAAAAAATGCGTGATTTTTACTAACGTTTAGTGATGTCAACAACTTAATGTTATTCGATTCAATATTTCTTTTCTTTATTTATCACGTTGTATTGAATATATGGATGTTATCTTTCTATTATATTTTGAAATATCTGATAATAGTTCTCTCTCTATTATATTTCGAAATATTTGATAATACTTCTACATTTTATTAATCATAGACATTTTACACATTATTTCTAATTTACCTTCAGCATTAATAATAGTCATTTATCTATTATATTTTCAAGACATTATATTTATTATGTATATAATGTTGAAGAAGAAGGAAACTAATAGATGTGAGATTTCTACATATAAAGATAGTATAAGTTAGTTTTTGTTTTTGACACTTCAATTAATCCACAATATATGCAAGGTCAATAATGAACAAAAAAAGATACGTTTTATTCACGCATATACATCGGTGTGTTAATTGAATTGTAAAAAATACACTTAAACTATGTTTATCATTGAGTTGTCAGTCGATTTTATTTAGAATTAACAAGTTATTACTTAATTTTTAAGTATAAATATAGAATCTATGAAAATATTACTGAATTAATTCGAACTAACAAACCACACCTAACTCTGTCCTGTAGTAAACTCTTTACGTTGTTTTGCTTTCAACTCGGATTTTTTTTCTTATCCTTTGTAAGAAAAGGTCGACATCGTCTATCCTATACAAAGGGAAACATTTTAAGTAGACTTCGAATGACGTAAAGAATAAGAAGAAGATAATCAAGTAAGAAGGTAAATATTGTTGGGCGTATTATTGCCTTTTGTTGTTATTATGTATATGTCCATTACCTTTTTATATTATTGTCTTAGCAATTGTCATTATTATTAGTATTAGCATATATATACAAAATTAAATATTAAGATGCTCACCCCAATAACAAATCAAACATAAGAGACTAATTCCATAAAAAAATATCTAAGCTTAATTAAGTATTATTTATTTAATTCTCTTTTGCTTGTCATTTTTTTTTTTGGCGTCAAACACCATGAACTTGGAACAATATTAAGAATGCATTTTTTCATTATATTAAGTACTTAAAAGCCGCTGAAAATATAATTTTTAAGTTACTATGAAAAAGATTACAACTTATATTACTTTTTTC